GATTTCAGATGATGGGGAGGGAGCGAAGGAGGGGGCAGGCATGTGAGAACGGAGTAATGGAGAATTGTTTAATTGGGGCACCAGACGAGCCATTCCATACTGAGCCAGACACATAGAATAAGAACAAGTTGAAGACTGAAGGGGGAATTTTCCTCAACACTTTCTCATACTGGCAAGGAAGAAAAGAAGCTAATGTTTACTTTAGATTTGGTTTAGGGGCGGGGAATGGATGGTGGTGGTCGCAGTCATGAGGAACAGGGTGTTGTGTTAGTGCTGGCAGTGTAAAATAATGAATTTGATATCCTTATTACATGGTAGACTATGGAATATTGTTAAACAATTGAAAGGATGGTCAGCTCAAGATGTGAAGTTTTACGCCACACCTGGTACAGTTATTCCTTTAACAACTTGGTATAGAACAGCCTTGTTGAATATTGGAGATAGTAGAGAAGTGAGGTTTCACTCTCTTTCACTGATGATTCACTTCATATTACATTTGCCCCATACCAAAGTGAGACGACATTAGTAATAAGGGAAATTCAGTATGGTGTACATGGGTATTATATTCACAATTTTTCTGTAAATCAGAAACAATTCTAAAATAAAACATCCATTAAAACAATACTCAAAATACTAGGAACTGGGAATATCTGAACATAGTGGAATGGACCACTGAAATGATGGGGGAGTATGGGAAGTGGCTTAGAGGAAACACCACCTCCCTGCCATATGCTGGACAAGAATGGAACCACAGAAAATAAGAGAGGGGGAAGAGGTCAGTTTAGGAAAAATTTTAGAAGGTAAACGAAGGTCTCTTTTCTATAACCAGACCATCTGAGACTTCTGCATCCTTTCTCACCCCTGCCCCACCTGGATGGTCAAGCTGAGGCTTTGTGATTTCAAGCCACACCATGGCAACCACTGATTTTGGGCAACCAGAGCTGAAGTGAGAAGCTCCTCATTAACCTAGAGAGTATATATAGAGGCTGGGACCCTTTGAGTAGTGTCTGTAACCTCACGATAGCCAAACTTACTAAGAAGATACTGTAGACTAGTGGAGATAAGGAATAAGACTCCAAACACAAGGATGGATGAAGAAACTGCAAGTCCTAAAGTGAATTGAATTAGAAGTCAGTTTCTCAACTGGATGACGAAGAAGTGGATAAGGTCAGAACACCTTATTAAAATGCTGCCCCTTCCCAAGTAATTCCTCACGCAAGATTCTGGCCTTGTACTTTTTGAGCAGAGACACTTCCTCATTCAATCCATTGCCATTCAATTACAAGCCCATTTCCTAATCTTTTTCCAATTTCTTCCCCAAAACCAATGTCGTTCTGGGTTTAACTCCTTTCCAAACTACATAACCAAGATAGTGGTGATGGTAAATTTGGACTTTAAGCTGAATGAAGACAAGAGGGAGAAAGACAGAAAGAATCAGATAATTGTATTTTACTACAGGAAGGGCAAAACCTCCAGTAAGCAAGCAAACAAATGCAGAAGAAGAAGTGCTGGAGTGTTCATCTACCACAGGTGACACCCAGGGTCTCCCAGAGGAACACACTTAATAATGTATCCCTCTATAAAAATGCTTCATAAATGGACATTATGAGAAGATGAAAACATTAGTGGTCTCCTTGAATAAATACCCGCAAGGGAATAAAGGAAATGTGTTTTTATTTTTGAGTGTTTTCAGATGATGGGGAGGCAGCTAAGGAGGGGGCAGGCATGTGAGAAGGGAGTAATGTAGAATTCTTTAATTGGGGCACCAGACAAACCATTCCATACTGAGCCAGACACTTAGAATAAGAACAAGGAGAAGACTGAAGGGGTAATTTTCCTCAACACTTTCTCATACTGGCAAGGAAGAAAAGAAGCTGAGGTTTAATTTA